GTGCCACATTGGTCGGTTCGATCGATTTATGTGGAAGGAAATAGCTGCAGAAAAAACGGAAAAAATAAATAATAATAATAAAATAATAATAATAATAATAAATAAAATAAAAATAAATAATCATAACCTAAAAATTAATAAATAATTATAATAAATAAATAAAAAAAAAATAAAATTAAAATAAATAATAATAAATAAATAAATAACAGTGGAAAAACTAATTATAAATAGCGAGCAGCCAAGAATGGAAAATGAATAAATTGCCAGAACTTATTATATTTAATGGCTGACCATCGAAACATTTCAAGACAAGAGCTGACTTTGGGAGCCTGCCACCGGCCCTTTCACACCACTGTGCCCCACATGGCAGTTAAGAACAGATAGAGCCAGGAACAGAGCCAGCAACAGAACCAGGAACCGAACCAGCACCAGGACCAGGACACTTGTGCGTTGCTCGCGGCGATGCTTATCTGCCATGTCCCAGTGCCAGTCCCAGTGCCAGTCCCAGTGCCAGTCCCAGTGCCAGTCCCAGTGCTCTGCCTCTGCCTCAACATGGACTTTCTCGCACTTGAGTTTCGATTTTCGCATTTCGGTTTCTGGTTCTGTTTCTGTTTCAGTTTCAGTTTCTGCCACACCGCTGAGGCAAACGAAAGAAGAGCTTCCACCCGCCACACTCCGCCCAGCAGTGCCTGCACTGAGGGAAATGTTTCAAGCACTGAAAGAGCGCCACATTCTTGACTCCCAGATATATCACACACTTTTTCTTTCGGTGCAGTCCTCAATTGCTGTTCGGGAGGCAACAGCCGGAAATGGCTTGTTTGTACGCACTCACACGCGCCCACTCTGCGCCACAGACACGACACACCTTCGAGGCAGCACTTATAAACCTGTCCGTGTGCGTGTGGGTGTGAGGTGTGTGTGTTGGTGTGTGTGTGCCATTGTAATGCTGCCTTCTGCCTTCCGGCCACCCAAAAACTAAAGTCTGTTCTCCTCTTGGTTCCTGCTTCATTTTTATACCCTTTGCAGTGGAGTTTTGGGAGACTTTTCCTTGATGCTTGGAGCTTGGGCGATATAGGGTACTCCAGTGTACATGTACATGTCCAGGTGGAGTGGAATGATGGCCCAGTTTTGGGGCTGATGAAGCGCTTTAGTGGACACTGCTTGACCTTGCCTTTGAGGCCTCTCCGCTACATTTGCACACGTGTCGGAGCGCCTCCTTTGGTCCAGTTAAGTTGTGTTCCCCATTGTGTTTCCCGTGTTTCGCTGAGCCACGCAGTTAGGCGGCTCCACCTTAATCGCTCTATCATCAACACCTGTAAGAACTGGCTGGCCAGGGATGGCAATGGGGGCTGGCAATGGGGATGGCTCTCCACAGCATAGCCCCCAGTCATGATGATGGCCAAGTGATGTGGGATTTCCATGGCTCTCGTGCCCGTCCATTTCGCTTAGTGCTGATAGAACCAGCTCTTGTTTGGGTTGCCTTCCCTTCCCTTTCCTTGTTTTTTTTTTTGCATTGATATGTTTACTCAGCCTTGGATGGTAGTCCATATACATAGTGTGCATGTGTGTGTGTGTGGCATGTGTGTGTGTATTCTGGCTATATGTACGGGTTTTATTTTTTTGTGGGTTGTGTTTGCATATTTCTTATGCGCATTTCCACGCGCCTAAAATAACGCCAAAAACGCAAATTGCACGGCGCCAAACAAACAGAGACGACGAGAGTAGAGTGGAGAGTGGAGAGTGGAGAGATGGCAGAGAGTAAAGAAAGGGAGAGCGAGCAGAAGAAGTGAATTTCCAAATAATCATCCTCCCCCATTCAGCACCCATCCAACCGCACAATGTCCTGGCAATTTGGCATCTTTTATCATTTACATGTAGATCCAGAAGGGGAGCCAAAGCTAAAGCTGGGCCTGGTCCTGGGCCTGGGACTGGTCCTGGGCCTGGGACTGGTCCTGGGCCTGGTCCTGGGCCTGGAACTTACGCTTCGTTTTCAATTTTCGAGTGTCATATTTATTTAGCAACTACAAAAAAAAGGAACCCCACGCCCGCGTTGAATTTTGTTGAAGCAAACAAATCCAAGCTGATGCCTCTCACAATTGGAATTTAAAAAGACATTTGGTATTGACAAAATTTAGCTCCGACTGAGCGCTGAGCGCCAGCCAAATAAATTACGCAATTAGCCAAGAAGCAAAGACAAAGCTCTGGGGAAACATTTCGGATTTCGGATTCGGATTCGGATTACGGATTACGGATTTCGGATGAATGGGGAATACAAATCGTTGCGAATTCCCTCAGTGAGTGTGAAACATTGCCTGCCATCAGTTTGAATCGTTTTGAGCATTATTCGAATCGAAATGAATTATGCACGGAATAAAAAGAAATAAACACACACACAGAGAATAATATACGAGTACATGGCTGATATATTGGATATATTGGGCACAGTGCTGAATGCTCGTTCATTTGGGGCTATTTGGGGCTATTTTTTAATTAATATTTGAATGGGCAATAAAATATTTCAAATATAATTGGCATAAAATATTTAAAACTTTATTTAATTATTTGATTTTCGGGGACTTTCTCGGCATAAAACTATTCCTCAAATGAGTTTTACAATGCTGAAAAACTCTAAATGAAACTCAACAACAGATAAAAGTTGAATGGGTTCTGGGATCTGGGATCTGGGGATCCGACAAGTGGTTTAATGTCTGACTGCGCTCCATTTATTTGTTAATTGAGATGGTTGCCCACCCATTGCCATTGCCATTGCAATTTCGCACGACTTTAAAGTGAACGCAGACTAGGAGGCAGAGACGTGCACCCAGTGCCCATCCCGTGCAATTCAATATACTCGTAGATATATTTCCATTCCATGTTCCATTTGCCATTAGCAGCAGCTTAGATTGCTTGGGGTCAGATCAGGTCAGGGCGTCAGGTCGTGAAGGGTCGGAAAGGGTCGGAAAGGGTTGCTTGTGGGGCTTGTGTGTTTCGGTTGGGGATTCGGTTTGCCTGAGTTAAGGTCAAAATAAAAGAGCTGCGTGAAGGGGGGGAGTGGGGAGCAGCTTACAGACAAAGGAAAACGAAAAGCCAAACTACACAACCTCAAGGATTTATGAAGGAGAAGATGCGGAGAGCATCAGTGGGTGGCCGGGGGGGTGGGGGTGTAGTGCACGTGCAACTTCATTGAGCAGGAAACTCGTAAAAACCGACAGCATTCAGCCCAACTAAAAGATACAATTTGGGATTAAGCCTGCTGCTGTTGCTGCTGCTGCTCCGCACCAATCCATTCATGAAGCGCCACTTGAAGGCTCACTCTCTCTCTCCCTCTGCCTCTCTCATGCGCTCTCTCTTTCTCGCTAGAGTGGCTGCGGCGAGTGGACCTTCAACCTTTTGCCAGCCCGTTGGAACAGCAGCCCATGCTCCTGTCCATAGCCTTCAGCTGTTCCTGTAACCCAAACCCAAACCCAAACTCTTACCATTTCGCATGGACACTGTTTGATTTGCGTGCGGTACGCGTTTTGCATTTTGTTGACTTTGCAGTGGGTTACCTGCAGTCTGCAAGCCACCTCAGCCACCCATCCCAGGCATCCCAGCCATCCCACTCAACCACTTAAACCACTCAAAGAGTTGCAATAAAAATGTTGGCGCCATGGTGTTTTCCCTGCTGCTGCTGCCCATGCCCATTTCCATTCCCATTCCCATTCCCCTCCTTTATCGCTGTTTGGCCTTCATGGGCTTGGCCTGACCCAATGACTTGGTCTTATTTTTGGCTTGGCCCAGACTCGCTGGCGTCGCCAGGCAAGGCGGTTCGTTGCACTGGCCCATGGCCTAGTATCGCTGCATTTATCGGATGGACGGGGGGAAGACTACTACGACGGGGAAGTGTGCCACAGCCCAAGAGCTACTCGCGAGTGTTTTGATTCGAAGAATGCGCGCCAAATCCACGGCAGCTTACCCCTACCCCTCCGCAGCCAGCATCCCTCACCTCTCTCAGGTGCACAAGGCGAAAGGGAGGTGGCTGGCAGTGGCTGGCGAACGTTTTTTCATGCGCATAATCACACGGAAATTATTTGTGGATATTTCCCCTCCAAGAAGCTCGCCCCACCCGAACTTATTCAGCCAGCAAAGCTTCAGCTTAGCTTACGCAAACGAAAAGCTTCAAGCTGGAAGCTCGCTCTGGCAAGCTGAAAGCTTTTAGCTTGGTACTGATACCACTGCCTGGCATCGCTCTCTGTGGGCAAAGCTTAAACGAAACTTAAATTGTTGGTTCTCCCATCTGACAGAAGTCAGTTGCGAAAGCTCAAGCCAGAAGCTAATTGCCAGCAGTGCTGGCAGAAGATGCAACGGCAGCTCCTACGCAGCAGCAACAGCAGCAGCAGCAGCAGCAGTGGGCTCGTCATTGATGCAACTGCAGATGGGAACCAGCTGGTGTACAATGCAACTATTGGTTATATAATGCGCGGATAGGCAGGCGGACATCCAGAAGACACACACACACACACACACACATACGTGTACGTGTACGTATTTGGGTGTCCTAATCGAAACTGCCGACTCACCATGCTGGCACGACAGGTTGGGGCGCCCCATTAGCCAAGCAGTTGCCCCCGCTACTGGAAGATGAAGCAATAGAAGTGTGCCCCACCAGCGAGACCAGAGAGACAGGCACCCACTGAACCCATCTGGAGTTGAAGGGGATTGCGTGGCATGCCGCAAATGGCACACATCTCGAGGATACTCGTGGCAAAGACTGCACGAGTAAAGCAGCCAAATGTCAAACTGTGAGCAGGGGGATTCAGATGAACCAGCACGATGATTGTTCATGTATTTTTTTGTATTTATTTTAATTTTATTTTATACTCTTAAATACATATTTAAATGTACACACAAGACATACAGACTTAGCGGCAGGAGTGGGGCTACTTGTGACACCAGAAAGGGTGCAAGGAAGGGCACACATCTCAGCTGAATTCCAGCCCATAGAAAATAAGACAATAATAAATAAACCAATCGTAGAGCTGTTTATTCATCAGTTGCCTGGATGCAGGCCATGGCTAGCAATGGACGGCAATGTTATATATATTATAAATATTAGGTGTGGCGCCTGCAAAGTTTATCCCGTGGTTCCCGTCTGGTCGCAGCAGTTGACTCCTCGTCCCAGTAGCCGCAGTCCAGAGTGTACCAGTTATCCTTCTGCTTGACGAAGCCATGCAACCAGGCCGCCGTCAGAGTGTTGTCCACGTCCAGGCGAACCTCCGCCACCGACTTGACCTCTATCTCGGCCACGTAGGCGATCACCTCCTCGAGCACCATCGGTCGGTGGAAGGCATTGAAGGCCTCGAGTATGTGGTCCGCATAAAGGTAGCGCTGCATCCCAGCCACGACAGCTCCCACAACAGCTCCGAAAGTAATCAAAATTTTGCAGTGTTAGTTATGACTTTGAGCGATACAGCTACTTGGTTAGGGATTGGTTTTAATCTGGGGGCAGGGAACAGCCTGAACAGAGTCTGGAATATCCCTGCAGAGATTCCCCTCGAGCATTAGCGTAAACAGAATCGAAGTATGCGCTGGGAGAACGGACTTAGACAGCAAGAGGAAGGTGCAAAGTGAAGGCGGTCCGTAAGAGGAACGAAAATAATATGGAAAAAATTATTTCATGTCTGAAGCAAATAAAACACGTTCAAGAAGGGGGAAATTGAGGGAACAAAATTCGACAATTTAATCGTTGGTCGCTCCCAAACTGTGTGGCTCCTTCCACACAAAAATACCCAGAGAAATGATCTGTTGGATTGAGAAATGGCATAGACAACAAAACTGAAGGTATATTCGCATAATTCTTGTACAATCAGTGAGGCTCTTTGCATATATTTGTAGCGCAGATGCAAAGTGTCTTTTGCGTCTAAGCTCTGCCATAATGTGTCCACAAAAATCTATAATCTATTCACTAGAGAACATGGATCTTCGTTTTCTGCATATCTCTCGGCGTTTCGATATATTCTGTGGCCTGCATATCCATGCATATATCTTTGTATTTATGCATTACCATTTATATTCATATTTGTATCTAAAGTATCTTAGTATCTGCACATCTGCAGCATCCATCGCCGTTCATCCGTGCGCCGGCACCGTTTGATAAGAGCGCCGAACAAATTAATGACGCAAATTGGGCATAAAGAAAAAAAAAATGGCCAAACACCAGATACGAGTAGATGCCAGAAACAGCAACAACAAAAAGCAGCAGCAGCCACAGTTGGAACCGCTGCAGTCTAGACGAGCACAGACCCAGGCCAGACCCAGCCAAGACCACAAACCTGGCCCAAACTGTCGAGCGTCATTTGCGGCTTAGTCAGCGCTATGCATGGGTGGTGGGAGGTGGGAGGTTGGGGATTTGGGAGCTAATAGATTTGCATGCGACCCCAGCCAACTGCACAGTGGACACGGCTGTGTGCGAGAGCCAAAAGAACGTGCAAAGAGAAAAGTTTGCCAGCTTGAGAAATGGAATTTGCATGTTGAAAAATATTAGAGAGACTCATGCTATGTTTGGCCCCACTGTGCGGCGGCACTTGGGGTTTTGGTAATTGCAATTTACACACTGAATATGCAAACAAGTCGCTGGTTATTGTCTGTGGTGCGCATGGTCCGTGGTCCGTGGTCCGTGGTCCGTGGTCGCTGGTTCCGAAAGGTATTCGGGCAACAGGTTCTTGGCCTCCCCGGCTCACTCTGACTCTGACTCTTAATTATTTCCATATTTTTGTGATTTATTTGGCTTTTCCCCTGCCCAGCCGCTGCGCTGCCGCTTGGCACCCTTTGGATCTCGAGTGCACAGACTTTTAATTGCTTTGACAGCCATTCACTTTTGTTAGCCGCAGTCGCAGTCGCAGCCACAGTCGAAACTGTGGCCGAAGCTGAGGATCCTTTTGCAATCGCACGTCTCCATCGATTGAACAAGAATGTGTGGGCCTGAGGCCGGAGTTGGGTCGTTTGATCGTTTGATTGTTGTTGGCTGGCGGTTTGGATTCGGGGGGAGGGTTTCGAGAGGCGACTCCTTGGCTGACACACAACTTAATTAAGCCGAGTGGCAACCCCCCCCCCCCCCCTGACGTTGCCTAATTGTTGCCAAGTCACTCCGGGAGGCAGACCATCTAATTGAATTCTAATTAATTGCTTGCAAGCGCTGGCAGCTTAATGTCCACTGCCCATTCAGGGTTAGACAATCCATCAATTGCACTCTCTCCAGCTGGTCTGGACTGCACAGCACAGCACTTTGCAACACGGCCTGTAATGCCAGCAGCTGTGAGCTGTGGGTCAACAGCTGTCAACACTGCCTCGCTGTGAATGGCAAACAAATGACATGGGAGGAAGGAGGAGCCGGTAACTGTAATTTAATTTGTTTGAGGGGCTTTCAAAATCCCCCCAAAAAAAATCTCATAAATTTCCGTATCAAGTTGGCCGAGACAGGACATTTGTCGGGCTGCCACTGTCCCGTTCGATAAGCCACAGCATATTTTTCCATAACCAAAATCGTGTCCGGACGACACACACAACACATAAAAAATCTCGGAAAAAATTTAGATTTCGGAAACAAAATTTTAGATCTGTACAAAATTATTAGTAAAATATTTTCCGAGCAATAAATTTTGTTCTCTTTCGGCTACAACGGTTTGGTTCGCAGTCGCGTGATCGAGTTTGATTCGATTTTTGTGCCCATCGAAACGCGGTGTCGTCAGTGCTTTCGATTGAGTGCTGCTGCTGCCTCCTTTCAACCTCTCTCACGCTCCTTTTTGAGAGTTTCAGTTGCAGGTGAGTGCAGTCTGCTGTCTGCTGGCCGGTTTGCTGTTGGCTAAGACCACAGTAAACTGTGCCCGAGAATGCCCGAGAATACTCTCCGGTCCCTCAGACATTTCTCCCAAGTCTAAGCTAAAATTAAATTAAAATTATTTTGAGCTGAATTGCAAGGGTAACTTTAATGAGCACCCTGTATCCCCTTTCCTTTTGTTCTCAGCAATATGCAAGCCTGTGGCTCACTACTTTCATAGCCACTGATCGAACCAAAGAGGACGAATTGAGCGGGAACTTAGCTGGAGCAAATACCTGAATAGGGAAAGCCGTCGAGTGGAAAGAAGAGAAGAGAAGAGAAGAAGAGAGGAAGAGTTCGTTAGCCGTTAGCCATGGGCAAGAAGGGCAAGGGAAAGAAGGGCAAGAAGGGCAAGAGGAAGACCGCAGCTGTTGCACCAGTCGCAGCGGAGCCCTGTCCGACATGCCCGGAGTTACCCAAGGTCATGTCGCCGCTGGATCCATGCCCGGAGTCCAGCGGCCCCCACGATGTGGTGCGCGCCCAGCCCAATCACTATCCGGCCCTGCTGCGCATACCCGAGACGATGGCGGTGGTGGGGTCCGAGAACGGGTGCTACGACAGCATCTGCAAGCTGCTGCGCGCCGGCTTCCGGTGTGCGGAGCGCGTCTTCGTGATGGCGCCCTGGGGCAACTACGTGGTCTTCCGCTACCACAACAACAGCGACTTCATTTACTTCCTGTTCGACGGTTGCACCTGCGACGTAACCGATTCCGGTACTTGGACCTGAGCTGCGGCACCGCCGGCTTCCTATTCTTCGACAACATGCACGACGTCATCAGCTACATCATCCAGTCGCGCAAGACGCGCCTCTACCTGGAGAATCTCAACAAGATCGCCATCGACCAGATCGTGGAGGAGTACGGCGCCGTCACCTACACCCAGAAGGCCAAGTGCATGCGGTTCGCATAGGCAGCCCTCCGCCCACCCGAAGAGGGGGAAACTAAAGAGACCTGAACTGAACCTGAGACTGAGCCTGAGACTGAACCCCCCCCTGCAACAGCCGAAAGAAGCCCAAAGAACATTGAACATTGAATACAGCCCAAGCAAAACACACACAGAAATTAATACTGATTATAATTTGAATACACACAGCTACTCAGTGAATCGAACTTGCCTGAATTTACAACAAATATACTATAACGAGTGGTTTAATCATTGGCAGCTTTTTGTTGGTTTGTGGGTGAAATAATAATTTATGGAACATTTTGAACTGAATTAATTCCCATTAAAACTCTTGCAGCTTCTTTATTCTTTATTGGAATACATACAAATAAATGACTGTAGCCAGTGTCTATGTCTGTGTCTTTGTACCTATATATATATAATATATATTATATATGTAAATATGTATGTACGTGCATGGTGCTCGTTTATCCGTATCCAGTTGGTCGTTCAAGCAATCCAAAGACATCCGCCTTGCTGCTGGCGGGAGATCTGGGATTGGGCAAGAGAACAAAGCGCAAACAAATTAACCGGACAATGGCCACTGACTTTTAGCCCCCCTCGACTGACTGCACAGGCGCTGGAGCGTGAAAGCGTTTCAGAGCTTTTCTACGGAGACTGCGGAGAGCGGACTGCGGACAGCGGAAAGCGGACTACAGACTGTGGAACAAGCCAAGTGGATAATTGTGTGGCACTCTAGCGATGTTACTTTAAATACTTCATGAGGCCAGATTCCACTTAGGGCGATACTTCTGGGCATCCTTCACAGATTAATTTCACTCGGCTTGTTCCGCTTATAGAAGAACTAGACAGGATAGTACGAAGATAATACTTACCAATCGAATGTATCGCTTCAAAATTTCAATTACTTTTGCAGAGTTTTCCTATATGAAATGAGTTGGCTTGGTGAGCCCTCTGGTATGTTGGGGATGAAGCTGAAAAGAGTTCAGCGGAAGAGTTCAGGGACGAGTGCGACGAGTGGCCACTCCACTCGCTGAACATCTCAATCCATTAGCTGCCACAGCTGTAGCTGTAGCTGTGTATCTGCATTTGCAGCTTCTGCATCTAATGTACAATATCTGTAGCTGTATCTGTATCTGTAGCTGTTTCTGTATCTTTATCTGTAGCTGTATCTGTATCTGTTTCGGCTACGGCTTCGCTGTTGGTTTCTTTCGCTTGCAAGAGCAACCTTGCAGCTGTCTGTCTCTCTTGCCCGTCTCTCTGTCGCTGTCTCTGTGTGTTGAATGTGCACTTTTGTGGGACAGGGACAGGGACTGCCATGTAAAACCTTAATAAATAATTATCCAAAAGCAAGCGATCGCAGTCGCAGCTAATAAACAAATAGCATTTGGAGCAACAATGTTCAATGTCTCGAATGTCTTTCAAGCAGAGCACCGACAAGCCCCGCAGACAGATGCCTCGTACCTCAAATGAAATCCGCACCGAATGAATCGCTCAACGCTCAAGTATATCAGTCCCCCTCCCGTCCTCGGTGGCTGCACGGGGATTTTGGAGCAATTGATTTCTTGAGGCAAGTCAAGCTGCGCTGAGCTCGTTAATTAAAACAACAATCACTGCACCATGGGACAAACGACAGCAGCAGGCAGCAGGCAGAAGACAGCAGACAGCAGACAGATCACAGAAGACCTCCGCTGGCCCACACGAGGGACGCTACTCGAGTTGCACTCGAGCTGCCAGCCGCACCGACTGTTAGGCCGTTAGATTGTAATTGAGAAGAACTTGTTTGCGATACTCGTACTCCGTACAAGATTCGGCCATAGACACAGACACAGTTAGAGATACAAATGCAGACAGACCAAAGGCAGGCAGGCAGGCAGGCAGGCAGGCAGGCGCCTCTTCTCATTCAAAGTCCCCACTGTGCGTAGGATGCTGTGGCAGCTACTGAAATGCTGGTTAATTGCAATCATTTGCCGCACCACAGAAATGGCCATAAATCCATACCCCCAAGCAGACACTAAATGCAAATTCTGTGTGTGTTTACTCCGTTCTGCTCTGGCTTTGGCTTTGGCTTTGGCTCTGTCTCTAACTCTGACGCTGGCTCTGCATCAAATAGAATAGAATAGATCCGAATGTGCATCACAGCTGATGCCGAGTCAGACAATGTCAAATGTTTGCCACTCGATTTAGATAGAGAGATATCGCTGACATGAGCACGAATAACTTGATTATGGAGTAACTAGACCCAATCAGCATTGAATTTTTCTTCAGATTTGTGACCCGTACAACTGGTTCACCGCAAAGATATAGCCCCCAGAGCTGCAGCAGTCGCTTCTTCGGCAGCCAGCTAACATTTTCACCGTGAGTATTTTCTTGGGGGGACTTTTAGCGCTTCTTTCACATTGAATTGATGGTCGACTGAAGACAAACAGCCTCGGCAAAACGGAAGCTCATTAGGCTTTGTTGCCAAACGAGACGTGGCCCGCGGTCCGTTAGCCAGATGATCTCAGCCACGCGGCCACTGGGCCCAAGTGAAGACGCGACTTTGTCCCAGCCACTGTCGCAACGGGCTAATTAAACATTTTTTGGGGCCAGTGGCTGGGGTTTGGGTTGGGGCCGGCGTCAGTCCCACGTCAATAGAAAATAATAATAAAATGGCAAATATTTACGCAAAGCGATCCGAAAAGACATTGAAATGCAGACAAAGACAAGCGCAAGCGCAAACAGGCAAACAAGCAAGCAAAATGGGTAAAAATATTACACAAAAAATACGAAAATTATTCAGCAGCATTTTGTTACAAATCGCGATAAGCGGCAGCCCAAACACGACGACGACAACAACAACAACAACAACGACGACGATGGCGACAGGCCGCCGCGTTGCAGCGTTGCAGAGTTACAGAGTTCAGAGTTGAAATATGAAGAGCAGCTCTGTGGCATGCAACATGCTGCCTTGTTGTTGTGGCTGCTGCCATTGTTGCTGCACGCGAAGAAAATGCCAGTTATTGTGGAAAAGCAAAGCACTCGCGCAGCATCTCTTTCAGAGTCCTGCCGATTGAACACTCTCCCTCTAAATGGAGCCTTCAGTTTGATAAAACTCGTGGAACGAAGCCCTGCCTCGGAGCCCTGGGCTTTTATTAAAAGAAAAGTAGAGTTCAAGCCTTTACCTGGAATAAATCAATAATCAAAATAACCCAGCAGAATTTAATAATCTGTAAATCATTTGCATATAAAATAAATACATTAAGCTTTAGCCGCTAATAGCAATTATATCTTGCAACTGTCTGCCCTCAGGGAACATGTTTCCCTTTATTTTTTGCCAGTGTACGAGATGCTCTGGCCGAGTGACCCGCGCGTCTGAGCCTCTGTTCGAGTCGCCAGCGCAGTCTTTAGGTCTGAGTCTCCGAGCCGCACCTCTTTGGCTCACACTCTCCTAGCGGCCGACCGCCGACTGCCGACTGACTCAATCTCGATCTGCAATGATTTGCAATTGTCTTGCGTTTGGCCAGGCATTTGTGCTGTTATGCAAATTTATTCAGGCATTCTGTAGTCGCTGGGACTTGTCCTTGACATGTGACAGAGCGAGGAGACGGCCACAGATGTTCCCCTGGCTCCAGTTGCAGTTCCAGCTACAGCTGGAGCCTCAAAGCGAAGCACGGAAGCCGCACTGAGCTGCCACATTTGGCTGCAAAAACATTGTCCAGTCAATCTGTCAGTCCATCAGTTGGCCAGTCAGCGAAGGTGTCTTTTGGTTAGCATAATAAATGATTGTGCCAGAAATTCTTGGCTGCCACTTGGAGTCCACGTCGCGACGCGTCGATTGCCAAACGCATACAATTTTCCACAGAACTGGGACTTTTCCCTTTCCCTGCCCTCTCGCCCATTCCATTTGCTGCGTTGGCGTTGCGCATAATTTGTCTGCGAATAGTTTGTTGGCTCCGATTTCGTTCAGTTCAGCCCTCAGCTAGTCACCTCAGCTCAGCTCTGCCCCGCTTCGCCTGGCTTCGTTTCCTCACTTGAAAAGTCTGGCCAGAGAGTAGCAAATTGCTTCCTTATTTGTGTGTACAATGCGAGTACTCGAGCTGGCTGGCTGGCTGGCTGGCTGGCTCTGTATCTGTGCTTAAATGGGGAAAAATTGAAACCAATCAGCCAGCACCAACACATGCCTCAGGACAGTGGCTCGGGGAAGTGTGCGCACAGCCATGCAGCAATGTTCAGGAAGTTCAGAAAACTCTCCACATGCTTGGGTAATTATCGTAGTGCTCTGGCGATGCAAGATCAACAGATGCAGCTGGGAATATCGGGGGAAGGAATCGTTAAACATCGCTCTTAGGAATACAGAATAAAGCAAAGACAATGCAATAATGTTACCCCAAGCAAAGCGCATAGATTCGACTTGTTAACTAAAATATGAAACAGAAAATTACACACATAATTATGTCAGTTCCCCCCACAGTAGTGGCAAGTGTTTGCCCCCCATTGGCAGCATTATCGCCGCACCACAGACCACTGTGCCACAAAGTTGATCTGAGTTGAGGAATGTGTGGCCTGCACTTCCACATCCACATCCACTTCTGGCTCTGGCTCTGACTCTGACTCTGACTCTGCTATTGGCATCTCCCTCTGTCAAGTCATGCTGAGCCTGAGAGCTCTGACTTCTTGGCTGTGGCTGTGATCGGACTGCTGTGGGCGTTCAGTTTTTGGTTCAATTCGGTTCAATTGGCTCAGAGCTAACCGTTCGTTCACTTTTGGCCGCCCTCTAATCTTATCGCCCGAAATCGATCTCGAAAGCGAGTCCAAGAACCCCACTGAATGGTGGGTGCGCCCACCCACCCTACCCCCCACAACTACCCTCTGGCCCGCTCTCAGAATGGGCACAATGGATGCTTGGCGGTTGGATAGATTATCGCGCTCTTCGAGTGGGCCTCAGTCCGCTGTCCACTGTCCGCTGTCCCATCGTACATCAATCAATCACACTCGAGTCGGCAATCAATGCGGGGGACATTGTGGAGGCTTGTGGGTGAAAAGCCAAGTACCGGGGGGGTGCCTAGCAGAACGCAATTAAACGGTAATGGAAACTTAGTTTAATGGCAATTGTTGGTAATTTGTTGGGCCGAATGGGCCGCTGTGTTGCTGTTGCTTTCGGCTTGCCTCTGCTCTGCTTCTGCTCTGTGATACGGCGGGGACTCGTATTGATCGCTCTCTGTATCGATGGCGCGATAATGCTTACCTTGAGATCATCGATGGTGGGG